TTTTTTTTCCTGACCTAATTTCAAACTTCCTGGAAATTTCGATTTTCCATAAAGCTGCTCTGGAAAGATACGTGTAATTAAAACAACAACAAACAACAACCAAAGGAAAAACATAAAATAAACTTCAGTCCTGTCCAATCTTTCCCTTGGTACCTTTAGTCATAGCTAGAAGGCCCTTTGAAGTCTGTGGGACTCCAACAGCCAGACTTGCTTGGCAGTTCTCCCCGTGAGTTACTGGTTTCCTTGGCGTTTTCTGACACTTTCGGCAGCGATTGCTTTCAAATCCCCCGTAAAGGTCCTGAGACGCCTCGGGCCATTGTCACTGGAGATGATCACAGAATTATTTTAAGACAGCAACTGGACTGTGTTGTGAAGGTTTCTGAAGATGGAGCCCAGATGCTCAGCGGTGGCCTGAGCTCAGATCTGGGCTGCGAATGTGGTGGACGACAGCCCCAGTGTCGCCATGCGTCCCCACACCCGTGTGCACCAAGACGCTAATGCAGCAAAAGAGAGAGCCCAGAAATGAACCCACACTTACATGGGCAATTAATTTGCGACAAAAGATGCAAGCATATACAATGGGGAAAAGATGGCCTCTTCATTAAATGCTACTTGGAAAACTGGACAGCTACCAGCAAAAGGATCAAACTGGGCCATTTCCTCTCACCATTAAAAAAAAAAATCAAAAATAGATGAAAGACTTCAGTGTAAACCCTAAAACCATAAGACTTTAGAAGAAAACCTAGGCAGCATGCTCTTGGACATTAGTCACAATATTTCGGAGGGGGGTGTACACTCTCCAGCAAAGGAAACAAATGCAAAAATAAACAAACGGGATTACATCAAGCTAAAAAGCTTTTGCACGGCAAAGGAATCTCTCTACAAAATGAAGAAGCAGCCTGCTGACTGGGAGAAGACATTTGCAAATGATGTATCTGGTGAGGGGGTCAATGCTCGAAATACACAAAGAACCCACACAACTCAACTCAACAAGAAAAAAAAAACCCTAAATACCTAATTTAAAATGAGCACAGTCAAAAAAATAACAACTAACAGACGCTGACTTGGATGTAGAGAAAAGGAAAGCTCGTATTCTGCTTGTGGGAATACAAATTAGTGCAGCCACTACAGAAACAGTGTGGAGGCTCCTCAAGAAACTAACAACAGAACTATTACACCACCTAGAAATTTCACTACCGGGGATGTACCTGAAGAAAAGAAAAACACTGATCTGAAAAGACGCCTGCACCCCAACATTCACAGCAGCACAGTTTACAACAGCCAAGATGGGAAGCAGCCTAAATGTCCATTGACAGATGACTGGATAAAGAAGCTGCGGTGTATTTATACAATGGAATACTACTCAGCCATGAAAAGGGATGAAACAATGCCATTTGCAGCAACATGGATGGACCTGGAGATCATCATTCTCAGTGAAGTAAGCCAGACAAAGGAAAATACCATTTGATATCACTCATACGTGGAATCTAAAAAAAAGGCACAAATGAATTTATTTACAAAACAGAAACAGACTCACAGACGTGGCAAACAAACTAGTGGTTACCCATGTAGGGAGGTCTGGGAGAAGGGAAAAGACAGGGCTGGGGTTAAGAAGTACAAACTATCACGTATAAAATAAATAAAATACAAGGGCGATCACAGCACAGGGAGTAAAGCCAGTATTTCACAACAGCTGTGAGTGGAGTGCAACCTACAGAAGTACTGAATCACTTTGCTGCACGTCTGAAACTAACGCAGTACTGTAAATCAGACACTCCTCAATACAAAATGGGCAGAGGCCCTGAACAGACAGTTTTCCAGAGAAGACACGCAGATGGCCAACAGGCACCACTCGTCATCAGGGAAGTGCAATCAAGTCCACAATGAGATGCCGCCGCACACCTGTCAGAACGGCTATTATCAAAAAGACAAGCAACAAGTGTTGGCGAGGACGTGCAGGAAAGGGAACCCTCGTGCTCTGTCGGTGGGCATGTAAATGGATATAGTCACTATGGTGATGCCCCTCAAAATTAAAAACAGAAATACCATACAGTGCAGGGTTTCCCCTTCTGGACATTCACCAACACAAAGTAAAAGCATTAGTTCAAAAAGATTTCTGTATTGAAGCCAAGACATGGAAGCAACCTAAATGTCCATTCGTAGACGATCAGATAAAGATTATTATGTACATCCAACAAAGAGGATTATAGATGTATTTGGAATATATAACTGTATATAATGAGACGTTACTGAGTCATAAAACAGAATGAGATCTTGCCATTTGCGACAACACGGACGGCTGCAGAGGGCATTACGCAAAGTGACATTAGTCAGGGAAAGGCAAATACTGTATGGTTTCACTTGTAGGCGGAATCCAAAATACAAAGCAAGCAAACATGACCAAAGAGAAACGGAGTCCTGGATACAGAGAACAAACAGGTGGCTGCCGGGGGCAGGGTGGCGGAGGGGAGACGTAGGTGAGAGAGATTCGGAGGTTCGAACTTCCAGTGACAAAGTACGTGAGTCACAGGGATGAAGCGTACAGTGCGGGGAAGACAGTCGGTAAATCTGTGTGGAGACAGAGGACGGCAGACTTATCAGGGTGATCGTTCTGAAATGTTTAGAAAAACTGAGTCACCATGTTGTGGCCCAGGAACAAACATCGTGTCGGCCAGTTATACTTCAGAAACAAACAAACTGAAAGAGAGACCAGATGGGTGGTACAGGCAGGGAGAACTGGATGAAGGCGGCCAGGACGGACGAACTTCCATTACAAGATAAGTAAGTCCTGGGCGAATGTCACATGCAGCTCGAAGAAGACGACGCTGCTGCACGTGATGAACGCAGGTTAGGCAAGTCCGAGGAGTTTTCATCACGCGCGAAGACCAGTCCTAAGTCTGTTTCTTTAATGTGGTGTGTACGTGAGATGACGGTGTCCGTGGCACGTATCGTGGCGATCGTCTCATGACGTGTGTCAGTCGAGTCATTGCTCTGCACACCTCGGGCTTCTGCAGAGCTGCAGCTCAAGTGCATCTCAGGGAAACTGCAAGAAGGCAAGGAGGAAACCTGGGCTTCCAATCCCACCCAGAAGCAAGCCGCTCTCTGCCCTCCTTCCCTCGCGTGGTGCCGAGGGCAGCCGGCCCACGCCCAGGGTCTTACCTGGGTTCAGGTGAGAGCCCCGAGCTCAGTCCCAGGCGCTCGGTTTCTCTACGTTTATGTTTCCACGACTCTGGGGAACAGGAACGCGGGTCTGCTGGGGTGTGAACCTTGCCTGGCTACTGGCATTTATTTTTCTGAGTAGCTCCCTTGCTTCATTCTGTCCTTGGTTCTGCTTGATTCTCTTTCATTCCTCATGAAAATGAAATTATTTTTCACTTTGTTAAAATGACAATGAAACTAGGGAAATCTGTTCTGTCTTAATACACATAAAATGTTTTACATGCATGATTTCCTTTTCTGGCAACTACTGGGTGGTTTTTGTGATTCTAAGACATTTTTGACGAAACGAAAATAACTATTTGTGTCGCTTCACTTTCGAGTACCTCGCAGACCACGGGTTTGATCCGAGATCTTTTTTCTTTTCTATACATGCATTCAGTGCTGTAAGCTCCCCTCTGAGCACGGCTTTTGCTGTATCCCACACGTTTTGGTCACTTACATTTTCATTTTACTGGAGTCAAAATACTTGAAAGCGTCTATGAAGACTTTGGCTCGTGTGTTTCTCAAGTTTGAATCCGATTGTGCCGGTGAAAAGGCTGTGCCTGTGGGTGTCTTCCGCGCTCCCTGGGTCTGTGGTTCTGTGCGCCATTATTTTACAAACTCCTCAGCCAGCAGGACTCCATTTTCCCCCATTGCGCCCTCTTTCCTCCCTCAGACATTCCCAGGACGCACACACCACACCTTTGGAACCCGCCTCACACGTTGCCCTCCCTGCTCTTGTTCCTCATTCTTTCCCCCTTGACTCTCGATTTTGGAAATTTCTGGCAACAGATCTGCAAGCTTGCTCGTCCCTTCCTCAGTCGCACACGAGCTATTGATGAGACCAATAGAGACATTCTTCATTTCTGTTCGATGTTTCATTGTTTTCGGCATTTTCCTTTTCATTCTTTCTCAGGGTTCCTGCTTCCACGTCCCGTCTTCTTTTTCTTTCAATTATGTGTTAAACTCACTTGTATTTTAACGTCTGTCCCCATCCTTGAGGTTGAGTAGAGGTTTTCAGAGATGTCATCACCACCTGCTGACTGAATTTTCCACAGTTTAACTCTGCTCATTTAGGTCTCCAGCGCGCGCTTTTAATTCTGTGTTGCAATGGGACACAGACCCTCCTTTGTCGGTGCCCGCAGTCGCTGCGGTGCCGCGCTGTCTTCGTCACTACAGAACTGCAGTGGGTGTGAACGGCACGCCCACGCTTCCACTCGGTATTCCCTTGACAATTCTGCCTTTATTCTTCACGTGCGCTTTTAGAACCAGGATGAGGGTTTCTAGTGAAAACGTGTCTGCTGGGGTTTTGTTCGGGGCCGTATGTGGAGCCTCTGCGCTGAATTTGGCTGCTGCTGCGTCGTGCCCTCGCCGTCATCCTGTGCTGTCATCTTAGGCGCGCGTGACGCACAAACGATGACCGCTTTCTGGTCCTCCTAGAACCTCAGAATTCTGCCAGCCCTTGACCTCGTCCCCAGTTGTGCCTCACGTTGCCACCAGCGTCAACTAGTGCCGGTGTAAACTTCTGGAACGCCATATTCGTGCTGCCCAGTAAGTCTTCGCTGGTACTCACCCACGTGTTTCCTGTCCCACGTTCTGAGAAGTCAGCTTAACGTTGATTTTTATACATTTTAAAATAATGTGTCCTTTTTATTCCCCCCTCCAGTTACTTTACCACTTCTCTTTTGCTTTTCTTTTCAATAATTTGGCTTTGGTGTACGCTTCCTTCCTGTATCTTGTTTGGGCACATTAAGCTTCTCAAACGTATCATCAGTTTGGGGGAATTCTTCGCCGTTTTTTAAAACTATTAATTGTATCTCGTTCTCCCTGTAGTCTTCATCGATCACAGGAATGCTACCCCTCTTGACTGTGCTCTGCATAGTTCTATTCTGCTGTGTGATTCTTTTCTTAATCCCTTCTCTCTGTATATACGAATTTCTGTTTGCGCGTTTTCTGTCAGTGTGATGTCTCCGTTACCACCCCTCCGTTTATCTGCAGCCAGTCTTCCGTTCAGCTCATAAACTCATGAGTCCTTAGCCTCAGATACTAGTTTTCAGTTGTGGAATTCGCATTGCACCCTATTTCATAATCAACATTTTTGCTGCAGTTCCTCCTCTTTTCATTTATTTTACACGTCTTTCTCTTTCCTTTAAAATGGTCATCGTAAGTCTCAGAACATAATGCCCCAAATATGCGTAGTTCAGTCCAAAACCACTTGTCACGCAGAGAAGCAGGGAAGTCGGAGGCGGTCTGAGGGCAGACGTCGCAGACGCTGGGTTCTCTGAGCTCTGTCAAGACGCTTGACGGCCCAGAATGCTGTCTGTCTCGGTGGCTGCTCCGGGTGACCTCGAGAAAAACACGAATTCCGTCTGCAGATGTCAGTCTTATCCAGGTGATTGATGTGGTGTTGAGTTCAGCTCTGCTCTCACTGGTTTTCTGTCGGCTTCATCTTCCTTTTTTTTTTTAAGTTTCAGTTCTAAATATGTCTTTTTCACTGGCATGTAGTCACCTTACAGCGTTGTCTTCACATTTCCATTTCACAGGGTCCTGCAGCCTCCAGCTGTGGTGGTGGCCCGTCTGTTTCTCTTGGTGGCTGTCAGTTTTCGTCCAGGTACTGTGACACCGTGTTGTTAGGTCCATGCACTTTAGTGATCATCTTGTATTTTCGGAAAATCGCCCCCTTTACCATGGCAGACACCCTTTTCAATCCCGGTAACTTTCCTCACTTTGCCGGAAACTGGCAAAGCTACTCCTGCTCTCCTAGGGTTAGTGTTAACTGGTGCATTTTTCTCCACACACTTACTTTTAATCTATTTGTGTCTCTGTTTAGAGTGGGTTTCTTCGGACAGAAACAGGGCCACACACGGGGAGAAAAGATGTGAGGCCAGAGCAGTATTTTCTCAGATGGTGTAGAAAGATGCAGAGAGAGAGAGAGAGTGTGTCCGTCCCTGTCCACGGCGGAGGAGCCGGCTGCTCAATGGTTGCTCAGTCCCCGCGTCTCGGCCTCACAGCACTGGTCACGCCTGCAGTCACCCCCCTGCGCTGCGAGCCCCCGAGGGAAGGGAGGACCTCGCTCTCATTCACTCGCTGTTCCTCTGGGCCCAGGACGGAGATGCACTGGGTGGACATCTGCAGAGCAATGAATGCACGCGCGCAGGTGCGCCGGAGCTGCTCTGGCCGGCGGAGGGCCCCTGCGGGCCCCGC